ATCTTAATCAAAATTCTTTTTCCAAATTGAACTAATCACTTGATTTGATTATAAATATATAATATTGTTCTAGTGTATGTGAAAAAGTTATATATTAATTCTTTTTAGTTTACTAACTTTTAAAATTTTTAAACTCTTAGAACTAAATTATTACGTTTTTAATCTTTGAAGATTGATCTTCTAATAATTTTATTCTTATTTTAATAAGGAACAAATTTCGTTAGTTTAAGAGTTAAAGCTACAAAGAATAATACAAAACTAGAAAAAAAAAATTTGATCCCACTGGTGGCATTAAGTGAACAAAAAATTAATAAACAAAAGTTAAATGTTTGACTATTGGGTAATTTATGGTCAAAGTTAACGGAAGTGTGGATGGCATCCAATTAATAGTTACATTGATTAAAAAAAGTGTAGTGGATAGATGACATTGAACGGTTTCTTAGTAGAAGAATGGTAATAAACATTTTCACAAAATATGAGGACTACAGTTGGCTTTAACCCATATTCAAGCCCAACGGTTGTGCACCAAATCCAATGAGGCCAGACTTTAGGCCCGCGTATTTTCCAACTTCATTCTCAAATCTCTTTCTTAGAAAAATATTGTTGAAAGATGTAAAATTTGTAAGTTTTGTTGTGATTTTAACTTTTCCATGTTGGGATGTTGTTTCCTTTTCGCCATAAACTTTCATATTGGGATGTTAATTTTTCATTTTTATGAAGAAGTTGAGACGTGAGTTTATACTTATTTAGGAAAGTTGTTGGTCAAAAAGATAAGGAAAAAATCTTCCTTGTTTTATTGGGATTGGGTAAGGGGTAAGAACTAAGAAGTGAAGTAAAAAAATTTTTTTTTTACATGTAGTTTTTGTTTTATTTGATAAAAAAATGTACCATATAAAATTAAGAAAAAAATATTTTCCAGGTAATCTGTCTATTTTTTTTTAGGACATGTCTAAAGATTCATTTTTTGATTCATATTTTTAAAAAATAATTATTGGATTGAAAGTTCTATCTATATAAATTATAGTTATAAATTTTCATGTTAATTTAGTAGTACTAACTACTTCATTATACGAAATTTAATATTGTTAAATATATGTTAGTAAATAGAATTACTTTGATCAAATAGTTATAAATGTTAAATTAATATGAAAATTAAAATATATGATTTATATGAATAAAAATTTTAATTTAATAATCTATCTTTCAAAATATTAATTAAAATATAGACTTTTAGACAAATTCTCCAAAAAAAAAAAAAAATTTAAAGACAACTTACCCTATACAATCCTTACTTTTCTACCTAAAGTACAACTCGGGTAAAACATAGATAAAAATAAAAGGGAGTGTAGCATTAGGATCCGTAAATACTAATTTATTAAGGAATATTTTACTGTTACAGGTGAAATTAATACAAAATTTTATCTTTGAGTTATATACAAAATTTTAAGAAATTAATATTAATTTTAACATAAATGTTACATGTATTAATTTAATTACTTAATTATGAAAATTAATATCTAACTTTATCTTTTATAAATATAACTTAAAAAGTATATTGAAATAAGCATTAAAAGTGCTATCGATGTAAATAACTTAGTAATTATTTTTTTTTGTTAGAAGTAAAAAATTAAATTCGAGTAACGTGATATGTAAATGAAGTAAAATAAGAGATAAAAAATGGTTTTAGCATATTATACAACCAAAATAAAAAAAAAATACATTAAAAGTAATTTTATTTTATATCCTTAATATACAGTAGAAAAAAAATATTTACTACT